GCTTAAAATTTTAGGGTTCTCTTTTGCAGTAGTTGCTTTTAGTTCTTGAAATATCTGAAGGTACTGAAGAGGAATTAAGTATAGGCCCATGGTCCAACCGTGCTAGGACAAAGAACGTTTTCTTACTAGCATCTTAAACTGCACTTACTAGAGACCATCTCTGAAATAAGCTTAACCCCTAGGATATTGGAAAAAGCCGTCAAAGGACCAAGATCTTTTAACTGGGTAACAAAGCATTGAGACTCATGTGAAAGTGTGTGTCACAATAAGACATTAGTGTAAAAGCGGTATTTTTAATTTGCAGTTTATTCTTAACCTGTGAAGAAAGATACAGGGGGTTTAAGTAATTTGTTTTCTTATATCTTAAAATAACGAGTTAGATTTCTGAACCCAAAATGAAGTAACATTATATTTAAAATATCTACAGTGACCTCTATCCCATAAGTGGAAATATTTCAAAACAAAGGTTTATCCAGTGAACTCTATTAACACACAAGCATTCTGCGCTAGTCAACGTTGTTTAAGTTGTTTCCCTTCAACAGTAGAACATGTCTTTTCTGAGACACAAATGCGAGAAAACTCTCATTATGCAGTCTTTGTTCATCTACTTTACAATCTATTCAACACTTATTAGAGAAAGGAGTGAGCTTGATATTGACATAAAAACGTCAAAACTACTGTCTGCAATTAAGAAATTCATCCTCACTGTAGTACACAATGTGGAATCACAGCACATTAAAACAAATGTAATTTAAGCAAGAGACTTGCTCTCTCATTTACACTAATGGATTGCTCACAGGTTTTAAAACTGGACAAAAACAAATTTAAACTTATGTTAGGCCACTGCTGTGTGACTACTGAAATGTAAATGAGAAACTATTTTGTAAGCTAATTATAAAGGAGCACTATAATTTTGGACAGCAGGTGTTTTATGCTGTAATGGGAGGGCATAAAAAGAATCTTTTGTCTGACCACTTCTTTCACTATTACTAGCCTCAAAAATTGCAGTTTTGCTCCAAGTAAGGCAACACTCAATATTGTCTTAATAATGAAAATGTTTTATGAGACTTCAATGACAATTTGAAAGGTTCTCTGAAAAGCAAGTAAGAAATGATAGTACAGAACGGAGAGATTTGACTGATAAGAGTGCGTACTGATGCACCATGAAGGATGATCTAACTACTTTCTAGTGTATCTTTGCCTCTTATGCAAAATTTAATGTATATCCCTTATGAATGGAAATATTTTAATGGACACTTACGTTGCTGAATATTCAAAGAGACCATAATAAGGGTTAAACATCTCCTTGGACAAGAGAAAAAACCATTCTCTGGCCACACCTCCATAGTCAAGTCCTTTTTCTGACTCAAATTCAATCCAGAGCCTGGCTTTCAGTACATCAGGTCTCTTCACAGACATGATTCTTCTGTAGGACTCCTCAAAAATATTATTTCTGTGTAGCTTCATCTCAAACCTGTTTGGTATATCAGCCTATGTGAAAGGAGATGATATTATACTTGTTAGTCTCAATAAATAAGTCTTCAGGCAAATTAGTGACCAGTGGTAACAACTAAATGACAGATTAGACATCTGATGTATAAAGTTTCCCCTTATTTTTGTTTTCCAGTGCTCTCCAGGTCTACAGGTTGATAGCAGATGGTAAACTAGCTAAGTTCCAGTACAGTGGTTCAGAGATTGCTATGATATTTGACAAAACAATGAAAACAACAAGAAAAGTAACAAACAAACAGAACCCCCCCTGAGAAAACAACTGATGATACTATGCTCTCTTTTAAGGGCATTTTAGCTTAAAATGGTAACAAATGCACAAGATTTATGCCACTGCTTTACTCACATATCTGTAAAGGCCAGAACAGTTTCACAACAAGAACACCTACAGTACCATACACACAACAGAACTGAATTGCAAAACTGTAAACAAAAGAGAATCGGGCTGCCAAAATGTTTTAGAAGTTCTGTCTAAATAGGAGGGAGCTAACGCCCATTATGATTTAGCCCAGGGAGCTAGATTCAGAAAAGACAGAAGAGAACCGAGTTAAGAATTTGCAGAAAGAAGACTGGATGAACGGATAAACATGACTGTTACAGCCATGTATAGTTTTCCAGATAAAACTGACTTGAAACAACTGTTTCAGAAGGTTTGCTTTTTCCTGACAACTGAAGTGCTTATTGTGTGCAATCACTGGTCAAACAACGTGAAAATTCAATGAGCTATCAACAAACAGGTAAAGACATTGGCAAGTCCCTCTTCAAATTATAGCTGGTGTTGCCAAGGCTCTTTACTGTTAATTATGAGTCAATATCACATGCAAGCTAATACTGAATGCTCTCTTATGTTAAAGATGTTACTGAAAATACTTTTTTTCCACAGAACAAGAACTCTAAAAGCTTGTGCCAGATACAGCACAACTGTAGGCTCTGCTCTGCCAACTTGGTCCAGCTCTGCCCTTCAAAGTCCATTGTTGAAGATGAAGGAAAATATCAATCCTCAAGCCTATTTTCAACCTAAAGGCTTGTAAACTAACATACCAATTAGTCTCAGTTGCAATGCGAAACAGTGAATCATTGCTACTTCTTTGCTGGCTCATTACTTTGATTTTGCATTCGTATAGAAAACCGTGAGTCTTAAAGATTTGTAAATGTTTTTGTTGAGAAATCAATAAAATTCAAACTTTTCTTCATTTTTTTGGTTCCTACTTAACCCTTTAGGAGTAGCACAAGAAAAATTGGCAAGTATATGTTATAGCAAGATACAACACCATTCTGTATCTATGCTTGGGGTAGTCTGTTGTTTCTCCCAGACATAGCATAATTGATTCCAACACAAAGCAGCATTTTCTACTCACTGGTTTCTTTAACTTCTTCCGGAAATAGTCATATTTCTGTTTGAACTCCCTGGAATACGGAACTGCCTATCAGAGAGAGGATCATAAATACAGATTATTCCAGCTATTTAGCAGTTTGATATTCCAACATTATTTAAACAAAAAGAAATTTAAAGACATGTTATCTACATATGTATGCCATAGGTCATCTAATAAAACCCACCATGCATGAAGTAGAGGAGCCAAAATTTTCCCATTTCTCAGTGTGTAATTTATTAAAAGGTATGAAAACTTTTGACCCAGTTCTTCTGTTTATCAACTACTTACCCTCATTTTTTTTCTCCTTTTAGGAACAGAAAAGAGGAAAAACAATTTTTAACACAGACAAAAAAACGTGGAATGTATTGCTGCCATCCATGTGTCTCATTAGGAAACAATGAGCATGCTGCCATATGATACTGAATTTAAAAAAAAAAACTAGCGTTACCATGAAATATGGATTTGCGCAGCTGAAAGAGCTACGCATTGTTAGGTGCTACTCAAAAGACACAAGATTCAAAGAATTTTGAAAATGAACCTAAGAACAAGTTAAGGGGCTCCAGTAAAGCTGTGACATTAACAACAAGCACTGTTTGCCCTCCAAAAAGTGCAGGACACCTTGTATACCTACACAGCAGGGTCAACCAGGCAGGGGAATGTCCATGGCTAGAAATTATCTTTTCAACCCGATGTGAATGAATCTAATTCTTAATAATTTAGATAATTAATAATTATATAATTAATTCATTTATATAAAATAATTTATATAATTCATATATAGTTTAATATTAAAACTACTTTGTAAATTACTTATAATGAAAATATACACCGCCATAATGTCTTTAATCCAGAACCTTAAAGCATTTCACAAACAAATTAACATTCTTTTGAACCAAGTACAAGTCACTGTGTAATATTTATCTGAATACTCACTCAATGCAGCTGCTTGTGAGTTAGACCACATTTTTAAGTAACAGAGGCATAACAGCACAATTTTAGAAGTTTAAAAAAAAAAGGCACAGTGAAGGTTGGTAGAATTACATTAATCAGCAGAGCTGGAAACTGGTTTCTGGCATATGTCAATGCCCCTTAACAAATGCCACAGGTCTCTGAAATATTTACATTGATTTCCAGATACCTGAAAAGCCTCTCGGGATGATCCCAGGCATGCACAAATCAAGGTTCAACAAAGGTTCTCACAAGCTCTGTCATTCAGAGTTTTGAAAGATATTTCTATTTTAACACTGTGCTCCTCTTTCCTGCTAACACGCTGTATAGGTAAACAAGGATTTGACACTAAGCTAGAAGATAGCCATGTTTGATGTTAATCCATACGCCACTCGCTGATCATCACAGTAGTCAGCAAGATGACAGTGTTCTTTTCTGCCACCTACTTGTCTTCATCAGACTCCTTTGCTTTAGCACCAGATAGGAAATGCATACAAACGTCCAAAAACGCCAAGCCTTTTAAGGTACCAAGTAGTACCAGACCCAAAAGCACTGAACTGCATCAGCCATCAAGCAGGAGTACAGATAAGAGCCATCCATACTCCTGACTGCCAGTCCTGTAACTGCCACCTAGATTATTCAGCCTTCAGATGAAACGGCCATAAAAGAAAGTTGTTAATTAAACTAATGAACAGGAATAGGCTGGAAAAGTGACACTATGACAGGTACAGGTCTGGCTCTAACAAATAACTGCTATGTATTTAAGTAAGATTCTGTGGCTTTTTTGACAATTTTTTGAGAATTAAGAATCCTTAATTCTCTGGTTTTTGACACCATATACAATATCAATTTAATCAGGATTTGGAAAGAGCCTTGGAAAAAAAGAAAAAAAAAAAAAAGCTTCTTGGCCTTGATCATAATGTTTTCCAACCACCTCCTTACTTTCCTTTGCTCTACTGTTCCTTCAAGATGAAAGAGTAGACCTAGTAAAACAGCTAGCTAAACAGATGAAGTGTGATTTCTTGGGAGCAAAAGAATGATTCTGAATTCCACAGGACTGCAGAATTTACATTCTCTGTTCCCTGAACGCTGAATCACAAATTGCAAAGCTCTGGTTCAAGATCAGTTTCTGGGTGAGGACTGGGATTTTGGGGCAGGAAAGGTATGGGCTGGTCTTGAATTAGATTCTGGATGTAGGTGAGAGTGGGAGGTGGAAATATTTCTATATGAGTTTTCTTTTGTGGACGATGAGACATTAAAAATTAAAAAAAAAATCAAACTAAATCATTTTACTCTGATGATAATATGATTTTACTACAGCCATTAAATTATCTTTCAACATGTTTCCATTGTTTAAATGCAACGTGAAATGCAATTTAAGTAGTTCTTTGTTTTTCTCATGGCACCAAAAATACTGTTAAAATCATTAAGGTGAATCCTTAATGCTTATATGGCTGTAAAATGGATTTGATCTTGCTTTCTCTTAAAAAAAAAAAAGCACACAAATAACCGTTATTTACTTAATGGGATCATGACTGACCCTTATTATTTTGAAACAAAATTTCCCAGATAGTCTTTCTGATTTATGCTTAACATTTCTGGGAACATAAACATTAAGAATTTGTATAGCATACTGTATATTAGTATCTCAAGCATTAAGTGCATGATAAATGGGTAAATCACTCCAAAAGCAATTATGTTCAAACAAGTGATTATTATTAATGTTATTAATAAACAAGAGCAATTGGAATTACACCATGCAGTAGTTAATCTGCTGTATCCTGAGACCCTTAAAAATCCTGAGGATTTACCCAAAATAAAAATATATTCTTGGCACCTGGAAACATCTTAGGGTTGGAAGTCTGATCACTCAGAATACCATAAAATGGCATAAACTGGCATAAACCAGCATAAAAAGGTCAAAGAATCACTCCATATAGTTGATGTTTTCAAAATTTGATATTAAAGTAAAAGCATGTATTTATTTTTTCTAAGGCTGATATTCTGAAATCTCTTAGTTTATCTGCAGTAAGTTTTATGTCTCTTAAAACTGATACACCCAATTTTTGTCTTTTTTACACTCTGAATCCACAGTCACAACTCTCCCATATTGAGTGGAAACAGCTTCTTGTTATCCAGAAATCCAAAAATTAATAGCGCAGTGTCTCAGCTCAGTAAAATTCTGTTGTCAGTAATGACCCAGATAATGGGCAAATACGAACAGTTCTCCTATACTCATCCCTAAAACCTTACAACCCAGGATTCAGCACAAAGAATGTGGTCTGAAATTCCCAAGATCTTCTGACTTGCGATTCAGGGTGGATATGTGCCCTTCACATAGCTTAATACAGAAACATACTATTTTAACACAATGGAGGAAAAAAAGATAATATGCAAAGATTTAATACTGTTTGTTCCATACTAAGTAATTTATAATATCAGGAAGTGTGGAGAAAGAAAAAATCTGAAGAATATTTTACACTTAGATTATTTTAGATGTAATTTATTTAAAAACACATTTTCCCACCAGTTCATCCGTTTGGATGTCAAAAATAAGCTAAAGATATCACTCTACTACTGTCCTGAAATTTCATCATCACAATAAGCAGCAAATAAAAGCAAAAACCATGCTGAAATCTTAATTTTTTTTATTTTTCAGCCAGGGATCATATCAGTAATGGATCCCTTTCAGAAACCACACTCATCATTATCGTTTAGTGCAGAAAGCTTCGTGTTGCAGGAGGAGGAGAATGGAACAAATGAGAAATGATGGGTTTCCATGTGTTTCAGAGCGTGAAACGCCATTCAGACTATTTAGCTATGCAGCTTCCGAATGGATGGATTTTCACTCAGAAATAACACAACAATATAAAAAATTAAAACCAGCCAAACAAGAGAGTCTCTATCCTTCTGAAGAGCCTTCTCTTCCTCCCTGCTGAAATAGAGGTATTCTGCGATTCACTGTTATATCTACAGATGAAGAATGTTTCCTAGACACTCCAAGCAGAAGCCAATTTCACATGCTAATGGCTACAAGACAGGAATCTTACTGTACCACTGGAAAAATTCCCAAGTTAGGTAGCTACTGCTAGGAAAGCCTCCAAATCCATCCAATTCGAACCTACTATCTGACCTGGGAATAGCGTGCACAGCACTGTAGTTCCAAATGTTCCAGTGATTTCTAATTAGCCCACTACTGCTTTTGCACCACTGGCAGCTGGCAGGCTGCACTCCAGCCTGTGCGAAACCAAATAGGGTCAACAGAGTGGTACAACCCTTTGAATGCCGCGGACAAGGCATCAGTTCTGGGACACCGTGGCAGGCTGTCACATGACGGCAGCTCCCCCTGCTCTTGCAGACTCACAAAAGCTGGCACCTGAGCCTCCCACGTCCATCAGGAAAAGGCAATGTGAGGCAGAGGTCCTGCTTCCTGGTCTGTTCATCAGGCAGAGTCTGACCTGATCCGGACAACCGACATGACCTGCTGCTCGTTAATGCCTCCTTCCTATACCAAATGTACGTGAGTCACACCGTTTAATGGAAAAAAACCATAGCAGTACTTACTGGACCAGTAATTGCCGGGTTCTGCAGTCTAGGGTCTTCCCACTGGGTAATTTTATTATCTGTAAATAACAAAAGAAATTATATCATTACTTAACTGTTACCACACTGTGAATTTATGTTGTTTTTTTCTCCCTACAACTGTTTTCCCTACCATTTCCACAACTTAGTTTTTCAGGGTTAGAAAAGGCTGCATTCACCCATCTATGTCAAAACCCCATCACACTGTTTAGTTGAAAACACTCATTCAAAAATGCAAAACTACAACAGAATCCAGTGTATTTACACTGCTTTTATTTCAACGTCTGTAGTAGTAAACATGTTCTATTTGAACATGGTCTTGGATTCAACTAATATTAGAAATACACAGACTTCATGCCTGAAAGGTAAAGGAACCCAAAAACTTTGTCAAATGACAGACTAAGTTTACTTTTTTGAAATTTTGCATAACGATAGCCAAAATATAATACTTATAAAAGACAGTCTGTATTTAAATTTGGAGGGAATAACATCTCTTTAAAAAAAAAAGTCCTAGACACTGATTTAATGAAAAGGTTATAGGACCATTAAGGGAGGCAAAATTATACAGTTATGGTATAAGAGATCATTCAGTTCTGACCAAAGGAGATTTTGGCAGTAACATGACAGAATCCAGTTCTTTTCATCTACAGCTTTTAAAAGCACCAGGAGGGTGCTATGGTAAGGTTATAGAGGACCATGGTGAAACTCTCCCTGCCTCCAGACAACTGCTCCTCACAAGATTCTGAACACAACAGAATCACAACAAAATGATGATGTTGCAACAATAAGACAATGCTCCAAAAACCAAACTAGATGCCACCTGCAATGGCAAGGTTTAAGTCATCCATTTCCTGCACTGAAAGGGCAATAATAATACCTCTGTTTGTTACACGCACTGCTTTATGAACTGTATATTAAGATAGTAGTCCAGATTTTAAGTTTTGTAATTGCTAGGTTTGGGAATAAACACACTAAGTTTCAAGAAAATTGTTTTTATGGCTACTATAGGTAAAAGCAAAGAACCAAACTCACTTATATTAAGACACAAGTATTTTCCACGTTTCTACAGTTGGAAAAGACCTGTAAGTCTTGAGCATCCCAAGCTAGTTTTAAGATGGACTGGGATTTGAAAGGTGACATTCATTAAACGTTAACTGAAGAAAATTTAGAAAGATCACAAGCACATTTCAAGAAATTTGATCTATCAGTTAATTTAATATTAAAATACTATTTTATTTCCCTTTACATTAAGTCTATTTAGTGCTTATCAAACTTATGGAGGAAGGCTGTTAGACTGACAGCTCCAGAAACCACGAGATCCACAGACCAGAGCCTGCCATAAAGGCGTGATGCCTAATCTCGCCCTTTTCATCTTGCTTCAACCTATTCAGTCAAATTTCCTTCTACAAAGTTTACTGGTTTTATACCAATTCATTTCTTATACCTACTTGAAATTGACAGCCACAAATCATGGTGAAAGTCTTCTATGAAATCAAAGATAATAGAACTGGAAATGACTGCAAGTTTGTCTATTCTTTCTTATTGCCCTACATACTTAAGAGCGTATGATGTTACTGAAAAATCTTTGTCTAAATTTTTTTCAAAGTATTACAGTGACAGGGACTTCATATTATAAATGCTATTCTGGGCTTATATGTCCCCAAAATTAGAAAGGTCTAACCTGAACTACTCTACCTGGAATCGTAGCTTGAGATTCTCTGTCTTATCCAAAGTGGATGTGGATAACAAATTCATTCCTTTTGCAGCACATTTTTGAAAATCTACCATTTCTCTTGAGTTTTCACACAAATAAAATACTCTGTCTTTCCTCATAAATCAGGCTCTAGGGCCTTTGAGGGTTCCCTCTTCTCTCTGTTTCCTCTGGTCCCTTTCCAAGTGGTCCGCTATTTTCTTGAAGTTTGGGACCCCATGCCAGATACAGTATTATCATAGCCAAGACATTATCAGTGCTGATGAGATTACAAGGATTACTTCAGGTCTTATTTAAGACACTCCTGTTGATACATCACAGGATAAGTTAACTCATGTTCAGTTGATAATATTTTTCATGCTCTTTTCAACCAAAATTCTGCTAATTATTCCTATTCTGAGTAATACTTTGCAATTCTTATTAAACAGCATCTTACTTCACACTACAATGGCAATTTGCCAGACTCATTCTGATTTCTCATCCTGTTCCAGTGAGCACCTCTCACCTCTCCTATGCTGTTGTTTTCTGCTGAACTAATGAGTACATTCCCCCTAATTCATTGTTCTAATCACTAATGAATATATTGAAAAATGGTGGATCCAACACAGACTTTGAGGGGAATCCATTTAATATATCCATCCCTCTGTCAGTGAACCACTGATAACCGTTCTGCATATGGTTGGAAAACCTTTGTGCTTTTCTTTATGATACCTTCCAACAAGTAGATCATATTTTCCTGTAAGGCTCCTAGGAAATGCAGAAGTATATGCATGCTACAATGAATAGAAAATACTATTTTATTCATGGATGGTAAATAATGTTGCCTTAGCTAGCTAAGGACCAATCATGGAAAACTAGAGACTGTATTTTTTGCTAAAAGATTGACTGCTGCAGAAATTAGAACTGTTTACAGTTAAAATCTAAAAATATTGTATTTTCAGGCTACTATGTTACAACTAATACCTAAATTATTTTAACAGTACTTTGCTTTACTGGTTTATATGGCATGCTTAATAGCAGTTTGTGTTGCTCCACTAGAGGAGGTTTCTGTGCTCGTTGCATTAGACTTTTTTACAGTTTCTCTCAGGGATGAGAAAAACATTTCAAAAATAGGACAACAATATTAATTATGCAGAAGAATTACAAAATGTATCTGGGGAATCAGGACATCGGGACATTAATAGTAGCTGAATCTGTTAACACTTTCAACATTTATACTGTATTCTAATAATGAAACTGACTACATTTGTTGCATCTTAACTAATTGCTTTAGCAGAGAATGACTGAAATGATGGCCAGTTTATCATAGTAATGGACTACTGAGACTTGCATATTTAGGGTGAGCTCAGCTGATCGCACCCATGACTGATTTCAGCATATGCTCTCGAGTTCGTCATGAAACAAGTAAGAGTCAGCAGGCTCTGTCACAAACCTATCATTATGGCCAAGTGTCATTGCCCTTCCCAATACTGTGAAAATAAATGCTACTATTGAGATTGCTCAAGCCAAATCACTGAGCACTGAATGCTGTTTGCAGTCATTCCCTAAATACGGAGCACAACATTATCACAATGGAGCTGCAACGTGTCCACTGTAATACCACTGGCACCACCTCTTCTCCTAGAGTCCACTTGTAATTGTAGTGGTGTGGCACCAGGTTGAGACCAAATGGGTATTTGCTGGAAACAAGCAGCATTATTAAAAAAAACCCTCTGGAGTTTTGTAAAAACTGCTATATAAAAAGCAAAAAAACCCTCAGATCAAAAGAGGGACTAGAGAGAGATTTCAGATGCAAATAAATTTAGTTTTATAACAATTATAAAGTCTTTGGGGAATTCTAATTAACATACAACTTTAACATTCCATTTACTTTTAGAGACTAACACATGCTTAAGCAGATTTAGAAGACTGAAAAATTACAGCTTTTTAAAGGAGGTTGGGAGGCTCAACAATTATACAGATATTTTAAATAAGACAGTTTTGTTCTGTGACTCTTCAGTGGCAGCAGTTTAGAATAATTTGCCATATTTAAGGTTCCAGATATCTGTTGGGAAAAACAATTTTAAAGAATAATAATTCTGTACTGATATTTGAGAGAGGTTAATCTTGTGCTTGATGAGTGTATTATTTCTAATTTTTATTTAAAACTATTTCTACAATTTCAAAATTTGTATTACTTTAGAGACAGTCTTTTAATAATAAGATAAATATAGGAGTCAGTGTTACTGGTACTGAAGGAGAAACATAATACTATCAAATATGTGTAATAGTTTAAGATTTTAATTCTTTAAGTTTTGCATAGCATATCTACCCTCTTCTAATGGTTTTATGAGTTATCTATTTCTGTGAAGATTATGCCATCAGTAGAAATACCTCATTAAAAAGTGCAGCTGAAGTCTTAAAAAAAAAAAGAAGAAGAAGGAGAAGAAACAACCACCCAACCTTTCTGGGCTGCTTTGTTTTCAAACAACAACAAAAACTCACACAGTAGTTCTGAGATGCTGTAATAAGACAAGTCTACAATGAAACATCACTTACACTAGAACTTCATTAACAGAACTGAATAATATTAATGGGCTGGGTGCAGTTTAACATGCTATAAATAGGAAATAAGATCAGAATCAGCACTGCCACAAGACCTTCTTAAAGGAGAGGAAAGAGTACTTATCAGTGCTAATTTCTCCACTGCCTATATGTGGAGTTGTGGCTATATTATCTTTTCTCATCTTATTTTCTATTCCTAGTGTATATTTTAATTTATTAAGTGCAAATAAGCCATGGGATCATCAACAACAACAACAACGAATCCAAAATATCAACAAGAACAAAAGAAACCACAAAGAAGAAATGTTAATGCTTCACAAGTCAGAGAGGGACAAAGCTTGATGAGCCAATTAAAAGCAAGCTTTCGGTGAATATACAGTACCGTATGAGGGCACTAAGTCTCTGGTATCAATGTCTCCACATATCAACACCTGGCTTCCTAAATGAAGAGTAAAATTATAAAGCTTTCACTTCAATATTTATTACGTCCCTTTGTCTATTTGCTGTAGTACCTGAGTGCTTACTTACTATGGTCTATATAAAACGTTCTTCCATCCAAATGTATTCTTTCCTCCCAACCAGGCTGGAATTGGGAAATAAAAAAAAAAGAGAGAAAATAAGTGAAATACTACCACTTTCACATAGCATGAAGTAATACATTATCCACACCTACTTAAATTGTCTGATAGATGCTTGTGAGGTAGAAAACACAAAATCACAGACGCATTATGCCAAGGCCAAAAATCTAGGAAGATTCAAAGAACTGGCTATTTATACAGGTAACTGTATCCAATACAGTAAATATTTTTTTAAAGCTTGGAAGTGGAAACTTCTTGCATCACGGTTTATATCCATTTCCTACTAAGAGGAAATGATCACAAAGAATAGACTGTCCATCATTGGTTAGATTTGAGAGTTTCTGCTTCTACTTCCGAAATACATGTGAGTTATTTACTGTAACTATGTAAGCCAGGATCCCATTACAGTGGGACAAGAATGTCTAACCTAGTCCTCAATTTTTCCCCTTTTATCCATTCCCTTTTCTCATCTTCCAGATGATTATAGTATAGAAAGGAGAATAAATAGCACACTGTTAGTATATGCAATGCTGTCCAGTCTAGCACTCATTCCACCTGTATGCTCTGCATGAGCTTCAGACTTCTATAAAATACAGATGAGAAATGATTTCATTTCAATCTTTTTGAGAAACTCTTGCTAAATTCTGTAGTCATTCTTACCTCACTCAAAAATGGATTGTTTAACTGAGTTTAAATCTGTTACTGATTATATATTTCCAGTGCTATATGTCAGGCTATCTTGATTTCACTGCATGTTTTACCTCTCGCAATTAACAATAAATTGTAAACTGGCCCTTCAGTTACTCCCATGCAGTGCCTCCTATCCAAGCAATGTGTCCTCGAAGATTAATGCATGCTCAATGCATCTGAAGAATCGCAAAAGAACAGCTACTTCCACAGCTGTTTTCTTAAAGACAAATTGCATTACTGCTGTGTTGTAACCAGGAAATGCATCAAAACAAGTACATTCAGCTGTGCATAGTTTTCGATCTAATCAGTGATTCGAGACACTGGGCCTGACAAATGGCCTAGCTTGATTTAAATACAAGGCAAAAATTTTTGCTAATCATGACAAGGGCAATGAGATTTTAGGATGTTTTAGAGGAGGATGTCTGACCATAGGTGGTAACAGAGGTTATCATCCCTCACCAAAGGTAGCATTTGTCACCACTCTTGCCCAAAAGCAGCACTCGTGTGCTGGCAGAGTGTTCATCTAAGTAAACTACAACCCAGCTCAATGAAAATGAGTAGGATTAAAAACTTGTTATTCAAACTGTTTAAAACTAAAATAATTTAACCCGCCATGTCCTGTAAGGTGGGACAGTAGCCTCTTCTGCTGGCACAGCTGTTTGCAGACAGCTTGTCCGTAATACAGGCTGGAGCACTGAGCGTGCTGGTGACAATTAGTGGCTTGTTGTCACTAAGGTTTCCAGTGTTGCAAGTACAATTTCAATGGCAATTTCTCAAAAGTGCGCTTAGTATATATGAGGCAATGAGCTGAATTAACACTACACCATAAAAATCAGCACCTTAGAAAAAGTGCTTTCATGGACTAGTCTCTGCCATTAAGGATGCAGTTTTTTAAAAACAAAGCAAAGCTCTGTATTTGACATGGCTGTAAATCGATATTACACTTTGGTTACAAGTGTGACAAAACTTCTGTTGTTAAAGTGATAATTTTCTCTGCAGAATATGGAAGTTTCATTGAAAAATCAAAATTTACTTAGATTTCTGAATGCCAATATATGCTGGTACATTAATAGAGCTTGCTTTGAACAATCTGCTCCAGTAACAGGTAATTATCGAAAAGCACATAGAGATAAAACGAAGGTAAGTTTCTTCAAAGCTCAAAGCTTTAGATAAGCAAAGAAACATGCAATCATTTCAGAAATACTATGGGCTGGCTTCAAAGAGCCCGACTGATTCACAGATCACTGTAAATCTTTTTGGTGCTATATATAAACATAGCTTTAATTACTTCAGAAAAGTGATGACAGCAACATATGTGTCCACATACAATATATGACTGCAATAATAGATCAGATCACGTAAGATAGCAGGTATATATTAAAATACATACACATTATCACTTACAGGAAGAGGGCCTAAATCATTAGGGTTCAAAGATGCTTTTGATCTCAAATGCACTGGAAATTTCAGTCGTGGATCCTCCTATAACAGAAATATAGAATATAATAGAACTGTAAATCCAACAGATCAAGTTAGATCTACGTACTAAGTCAAACACAGAATTATCTGGAAAAGAAATCTTCCTACATTACAGTTGTTCTTTTTTTTTTTTTGAGAATAAAACATATAAAACAAAACATATAAAAGTGATAGAACATTTAGTATTCGGATGTGTCACATACTTTATTAGGATTCATATATTGAAATGATTTTTTTAAGTGTTAAGAGTTAGTTAGGGTGATGTAAGACTTCGACTCTATTAAGTGTGCTCTATCCAGAGATATGCTTCAAAAAATTCAAATTCTTAGGAATGCATGCACTCCCTTAAGTGGCATTTAAATACATATGTACATTTTTGGCTCTTAAAAACATAAGAGAAATAAGCCATCCTATCACAAAAAGGCTCGAAAATGATGAAAATGAGCTTCTTCCATTTTTATTAATGCACAGGTATTATTACATCAATGTCCCAAATGAGGCAAAAAGGGGCAAGTAAGATCAGTCACAGAAGACAAATCTAGACAAAAAATGCTTAAGATTTCCACACACATAATTTACCCACATGCACCTGGGAACACCATTAAGAACCACCATTAAAAATATGTCGTGTAAATAGTGGTCAGTGGGAATCTGAATGATGCCTAACAAATTAAAGTGCAACTCATATTTCAATGGTGATGTGAAATGCTGGGTCATCTTTGACATTTTTTCGTAGTGTAATTTTTTTTCTCCAATTTGTTGAGCAAAGTTGCAGAATTATTGAAAAATGGATCCTTATGACACAAACCAAATAATAAAATGGATTCTGTTAACTGAGGAAGATGAACATACATTATATTAATAAAAAAGCAGTACCAGTCACAGTGAAATACAATGCAATTATGGACAGTCTCAAACTAAACAACAATCCAAATCTGCATTGCACTGTATGCCTCTAAAGCTCAAATGTGGGGAATTTAAAGGACAGTACTGGTATGCAATGATTTGTCAAGCATTAAAAGGTCAAATACAAAATGCAAAACACTATTGTATGGTATATGATGTACAAATGCACCAAAATCTAAGAGGATATGAACAAATAAGTTTCCTTTCTCTGAGTGCAGCAATGGCAGCACTATAGTCATTTCACGAAATTAGCTACTCAAGTTTATTGCTACTGTGTGTGACTGCATGGAGGGTTCAGTGAGATTCCTACATCAGTTCTATGAAAAGTTAGGCTGACAAATCCCGCCTTAAAGACAAGACAAATGCCACAATAAAATGAGGGGTATATAGGCAGGAAAACAGAGACAGAAACATTTAAAAGATGGCAACTGATTTAAAATTCATTATCTAGAATTTCTCTTACCCACGTAGTAGTTTTAGTATTATGATCAATGAAGAAGGGCCTGCCGTTGGGTGCTATTCGCATCTCCCAGCCAGGAGGAAGGAAGCTTTGTGCAACTTTGTGTTGTGGTTTAGGAGAGTTGTAAGGTGAGGGCTGTGGAGACTGTGGATTGGAAAGGGTGTCCTTCACTGCTCTGCGCACAGGGGAGTCCTTGATACCCTGAAGAAAATGAAAGGTATTAAGATTTGTCAGATGTCACTCAATACTGTAAAATGAATAAAACATGGTCATCACAGCAAATAGTTTTTCATTCCAGATGTAATTAATACTAGAATTAAGTGCTGGGACTGATTTCCTAGAACTTACTTAGCTAAAGTCTGCTCCTTATAACATACCGGGCTTTTTGCTGTGAAGGACACAGTGTTTTATCACTTCCCTCTGCAATGATAATGTCCACAGTATTTACACTTGATTATATATTTTACTGCAACTGCCCTGTACATGTCAATATTTCATTTTATGAAGGAAAAAATAAAAGCATTGCTTTGTGCTTCATGGTGCAATATATCTCACTTTACAAGAGAGTATCCTAAATGTGAGGCAATGTTACCCACTCTTCAATGCATTTCCTGAATATAAGTTCAGACAAAACACTTAAATATGAAATTAAAACAAGTTCCTAAAATAAACGGAGGTTTGCAATTACAGATTTTGGACAGTTTGGTTTTTTTTTCTTTTTTTTTTTTCCTTAAATAAATGAACACAGCTGCAAAACTGCTTCACTGATCAATGCCTATTGGTTAAAAACAGGAGTTATGTGATGGGGCTTTTTTTTTTTAATTTCACTGGGAAACTGCACATTTAGATGCCTAAACAGCTTGAAAAATTTGATCCAGATTTACTCACCTTACAGACTACCACAATCAGAAAACAAGACTTAAGTACTATGTTTAAATCTTGTTTGCATTTGTACTTGTCAGTTAACTTTCCAAAAACATGCTCTCGTTAGCTGAGAACAGTTTGTTTTCTTCTTGTTTTACTAATTGTTAAGATTCAGTAAATCCATGTGTGCTTATTTTGGCAATTCTCTAACTTAGCCTACATTTAATTACTATTTTTTGAGTATTATGTTGAAAAATGAGGCATCAACATGGATATTTACAAAATTATTGTAGCCTTATTTGTGGCCTGTTTTGAGCTGCATTTGGATGGAAAATGCAGTTAGATTACAGTGTTCAAAAGCAGCATTTAAAATAGCTTGCATTAAATAAAAGCTTTCCGTACGTCTTATACACAAAAAAGCTGAACATTTTACAATAAAATAACTATTTAAACAAAGGAAGTAACTTCTAAAAAGTTGAACTCATTTTTTTCTTGCGGTTGTATCCTTTAAAATTTTAATAATAGTAAGTCTACAGCTTACTTTAAAAAAAAAAAAGCAAACAAAATTCAGAGGTGGGTATAAGAAGACAAGTTTGTGCTCTTCAGCACCCTTGTGGTTTCTGAGCATTGAACAAACTAACCACCAAACTGATTAGTTGAATATTCTGAAGTGAAGAGAACACAGGTTTAGTAGCCATGGAATAGGTTATTGCCTTTAAAAGGTAGCTTGTCGCCCTGAGCAACTCAAGTTTCAGGTGCTTAGTTAGTGACTTCCACCAGCTCTACTGTTTAAAGTGTCAGTAGGGAGAGGAATGCCCTTAACGTTTCAGTTTAAGATACTCAGAATTTTTTAATTTAACTCATTTAAATTACAGTACATTTGGTCCTCAAAATTAACAATGGCAAGAGTAGTTTTAAGTAGTTCATTGTTAAAGGGTTTATCTGAATTACATATAAGTAGAGATAATTTATTTTAAATATGAACTATAATCACTTCACCACAATCTGTCCAATAATCCTACCTTTGTTTAACAATTTGCTCAATAGATTGAGTACTTTTCAGTATAATGAACAAAGAAGAACAATGCATAAAATGAACTAAATGTTACAATCTTCACTTGATTGTTGGCACACTTTTGCAGGGGCAAAGGGGACACAAGCAGGAAAGAGACGGTGAGACAGAAGTACAAATAAGGTGCCATACTTTAAGTTTGAAGAAGAAATTTTTAAGAATTTACTCTCCTCAACACAGCCATGTTTAACTGATTCAAGAGTTTTAATCACACTTTCAGAAGTAAAACACGTTGTCTTTGATTGCATAAGAAGCCACTTCAGTTATTCTTCAGATATGTTGCAGTGAACATCATTCAACAGTATTCTGACTTATTTTTAAAGATACATAAAAGAAATTAAATGTCCTTTTGAAAGACAAGGAATATAAAACACGATCAGTATCTTAATACAAAGATTTTCCAAACTCAATTGCATGTATTATTTTCAAAGTTATCAGCATCACAATAAATCTTTCAACTTAAGAAAATATTTCTGATTTTATACATTCAGAGCACTTGAAAGGAGTCACAACAGCATATGTTTCAGACATACACACAGATTATATTTTAGCTGACCAAACTAAATAATCATATATGTATTACATCATTCAATGACCATAAAAGTTAAGTAATACTGTTGTACAATATGAAGGTCCAGACAGAAAACTGCTAAAGAAAACAGCAATAATTTATGGCAAAACCAGTAACAGGGAAAGTGGCTGTGTTACATAATTAAAAAGGAAATAAGAAGTTACAATGAATGAGAAGTGATCTTTGTTGCTAACAGCGTTTCTCACCTCGAGCGGAGCAGATAAAGTTACTGTGGGTGAACTGAGGCTACGAGGCCGTCTTATCTGCGGTTCACTTAAATGGTTGCTGCTGTTTGCTGTTGACCCAACCATGCCATCTTCTGCAAGCTATTTCAGAAGCAAAACCAAGTTAGCAAGTTGTCAGTAACACAGTTCATCCAGAGTTAGGACACTTCAAAAATGATGTAATTATTTATTATTATTATGAAATATTAAACATACTTTCCTAAAGATCAAGTATTTAATTTAATTCCATTGGAAGGGCAAATAATGTATGGTACTATTAATAGATCAATACAACTTTCAGATTCAATCCTAAGAATGCATTTGCCTCCTTTTATTAGTTCATATGTACCTCTCTGTAAATTCCTTCCATTGTAGCAATCAACTTAATCTGTACCTTAATATAGTTAAAAGAATTAACAAAACAATCCCAATCATTGCAATTTTTTATGATTACCCTGAGTTGTCAAGACAATGCTTAGGATTATTTTTTTTTTAATTTCAGAGTTCTGAAGAGCTGCTTCAACTGACATTATACTCAATACATGCTAAGTGTTTGCTATCTAAATTGAGCATTACAACAGATCTTCATACCTGCATAATGGGCCGCGTCCATGTTGTGGTTCGATTGTTATGGTTGACATAATATGTACGGCCTTTTGCATCCTTTCTTTCTTCCCAGCCTGAAGGTAAGCCTGGTGTAGTATGTACATAGGCCACTGAAGGCTGTTCAAGCAAGAAATCGTAATTTAATAAATAAATTAATAAAATAACAATAACTGTATTGTTATTTTATAACAGCTAAAAAAATTTCATAAGTCCATTGTTTAAAAAAAAGAACTTGTTGACTTACAACATTCTTAAACACAACAAACATATAGAAAAATATGGTTTCTGATTTCATTTAATATAAGCTCTTCTTCACATACCTTTGAGTCAAATAATTTTTCCTCACAATAGAACTTTTGATTCACTTTTGCAGATTCAGGTATGTTGTTCAGAAAACAGCTAAGCTTATATGCCCTCAAACTTTTAAATGTGTAGATTACACATAATGACAAAAAGGAACTTTGTGTTTTAATGATTTTTCCTTTAAAAGGCGGATGTTTTTTCCTTTTATTAGTATGGATAAGCAAGAACTGAACTAACTGTGCAGTCAAGTCAAGATCTCCCAAGTTCTGTTCTGTTCTTTACCACAAGGTGTCTTGAATCAGTTGCAAGAAACTATTCTGGGTTTAAAAACTGAAGTGCAATCAATTTGTTACAGTTACAAATGTTGCATTCAGGGTTAGGTGTCCTGAAGACACAAGATACACCCCCAAATTGGAGCCCAAACTTTGGTGTGAAAGGATTTTTTTACTAGAAGTTGCAGAAGAAAGACATTGTTCTAAAGAAAATATACAGATAATGATAATGGTGCCAAAGGCACCAATTCTCATTAAACAAGTTATGTCACTATTCAACGCAATAATTATATTATTGTGTGTTGCTGATGTTGTCTTGTGTACTTCCTGTAAGGAAAATATTCAATGCTTAAACCAATTGAACATTTTTTCCTGGGACATACAGCAGGAAAAAAAAAAAAAAAAAAGCATTGTAGCACAAACGGCATAGCTTCTTGGAGAAAAATAGCCTAGAGAGAATTTTTAACACTGACCCTGTCTGCATCTGAATATATATTTTAGAAGGGGAGGAAGCCAGGGAGTTACAGTTTTTAGACCATATCCTCTATATAAATCTACATGTTTATTAAGCTTAGTCACTTTCTAGTTTGCGACTCCTCTTAAGACATCACTTGCTTGTATAACAGATTAAGCACAGGTATCCTGGCTGTCAGCAAAGCAAACAAGAAAATCAGAAAACTCAGGATAGGTGTTTTTCTCAACTTTGTTGAGATGTATTGATATAAATACTAAGAGCTAGAGAGATACAGAAATTTCTGTCATTCACAGCAGATACAAGCAAATTGCTAAACTCTGCAGGACAGTATTTTTGCTCTCTAATGAAGCCCGCGTATTAATAATTGTATCAAAGACTTGGCACGTGCAAGGTGTTTTTCAGTATCTATGCCTAGATCTTTGGTTCAAGATGCATTTGGTTTAATTATTAGATTAATCACATTAAAATATACATTAATACATTAATAATCAGGAGTCTATAATGCTAGAGATTGCTTCACTATTTCAAAACATCTGCCTTGATAGCAGGATGATGAAACCTAAAGGTTTTCATCACATGACAGAGTAAAAAACAGTGCTTGAACTGCACCGTCTTATCAATTTGTGCAGTGTTTTAATTCATCATCAATAACATTAATTCCTTTAGAAATATGCAGCTTTGTAGTGCTAAGAAAACAAAGCAAAACGCCTTCATCTAGCAATCTGCTTTTATCATGGCTTCCCCTGAACAGGCTGTAGCAATGTACATGGCATTTTTCTTACGGATGTAAAACGTGAACTTCCTGGTCCTTAAAGAATTTCAGGTTTAAATGCTGACAGGTAGAACTGCAACACAGCACAGCAGAGAGAAAGGCAAAACTTGTACTTGAACTGCTAAACGTATTGTGCTTGTTGCACCTGAACATCGAATTTTCTGTAACGCTGCAAGTTCTTGAGCTGATGTAATAGTTAATGCCAGTGTTCAGATTGGGAAGAAATGGTTCTGACATCTGAGCTAGAGAAAGGACTTTTATCAATGTCCAAGATGCAGAAAGCAGCTCTGGTTGCTGCCCCTTCCACCCCCAACAATCTGCTGCTTACAAGAAGATTTATGAACTCTTACGAGACTGCTTCGAAAAGAGAAGACATTTTTTATCTTTCCTGAAAGAAGCAGGATGCTACATTTAAAAACATGGTTTGAAGAAAGACTGACTGTAAAACCAAATGTCTGACAACAGACAGTTACTGGGCGTAACAAGGGAAGGCGGCTAAGAAACACATGCATACTAGGAATTGTCCTTTGCTCTAATGGTCAAATTACGCCAATGCTCATTAATCCAATTCGCTTCGCAAAGGACTACATATTTAAGGCAATTGCCTACTGCAGAAGTCAAAGGCATGCCTTTATTTCAGACAATAGTATACTTTACATTAAACAAACAAACAAACAAAAAACAAAACCAACACCAAACCCCCTTTTTTAGGTGGTAAGCCCAAAATGGAAAGAACTCCAATTTACGGTCATGCTTTCATTCATTCTGTCTTTTCACAGAAAACATGTTATCATGTATCAAACATGAAGGTGTGTAATTTTTACTTCTGCAATTTCAGGGCATCTCATGGAGAAGATGTGCTGCTGTGCTAGATAAAGGAAAAACAGAGCATACAGACTGAAGTTTTGCGCAGAACATTAGATATTTTGTTGTCACTTCACATGCGGTCTTTGCTCATTTTGTTATTAACAGGAGTCACTAACTACTGAGAGACAACTTCAAATTTGGAAGTCAATACAAATTCAGCACTACACAGTAACAGTATGATTTTAGCATCAATCCCAGTATTTTTATTAGAGATATAAAATAATTGCTGGGAAGAGTTGATCACTAGCACAAACTCTGAAAAGAGTAGTATGTCTCAGACTGACATCAAGAGAATGAGTAAGCCAATGAACTAGGGGCAGATATGGGGTTTTCTTTCATCCAGTCTTTGGGAGCCACTGTTAAACCACTGTAGGCAGAGACATGCATATCACAGTAATGGTATTAACAATTCAGAGTAGCAAAGCTGACTCTGCTTTTTTGAGTATTTTGCCCACATCTGAGATGACCATCAGAAACACAGCCTCTGTTTCAGGGCTGACTCATACACAAGCAGCTTAAGTACAGGCAGAAGGAAATCAGCTCTACGGGTAAATGACTGTGGTAAAGATGAATGACTGAAGACTCAGTCCTGCAAAATATTAAAATTCATATATGGCTCTGAGCTCTTAAATTCTCACTACGTGAATGCAAATTGAATTCCATGAGCACTTGGAATGAATGTTGGAATACAAAGCATGAGTAAGAGATCAAAGATGTTTAAGGAAGACTCTTTAAACTTTTTTAGTATGACCTTAAAATAAAACCAAGGGAAGAATCAGCCTTGAAAATTATCAAATACCTTCACATAGGTTAGAAACCAACTGTTAAGCTTTCTAGTTTTAGAAAGGAGTCTTCCTGCTAAAGTGACAACTGCACTGATAACCATTCTTCTGATGGAAAAAAGCTAAGTATATTTAACATAAAAATTACTAATCCTTGTAATTAAACTAAAAATCCAACACGTTATGAAAAAGTGTTATTCCTACCTTAACATACTACTGCCCTAATCATTTAAAGAAACATTGAGATTGGTCTCCTGGGAATTCAGGAAATGTTCTTCCTCTTATCTGTCATGGCTGTCTATAATAAATGATACCTTAATTTTTTTTTTTTAAAAACGTAGCCTGATAAATAATTTGTTTCTATCCTATGGCTGCGTACTTTTAATATTAGATTTATTTTAAACCTGAAGTAGTCACTATCAAATTATATATGCAAGCACTATTTAAGAAATATATATGCTGTAAGTGGTGAACTAGAAAATTGTAATGAAGTGGAATTAGCAGATGCATTAATTCAGAGTTTGATGCACTAGGAGCTATTTTTTTTTGCCATGAAACAGTAAAAGGAAGAGTAGTAAAAGCTTAACAGGACTGAAATTCAAAGTCATGTGAGAAATATCACAAACAGATTTTTAATTATCTTGAATTTATATTAATTTAAAGGAAATATTTTTTTGCAAGATTGAAAAAAAAAATCATTAGCAACTGCATTATGGCTGACAGTATAAGAAAAACCTATAACCACTTACAGTATACGTAGGGTGAATAGAACGAATGCAAAATTAATTGGTAAAGCTTAGATGGCTAAGTATGATTCCAGTTTCCAGTTCAATACCTGCAATCCATTCATTAATATCTTCAACTCTAAAAGTTTCACTGTTTTTCCTTATTTTACTACTTAGATTCCTCAGTGCAAGTATTGTACATCTCACTACAAACTGTATTTTCTTTTCCTAAAGTATATACCATCCATGCTTTGAGTTACTGTGCAGACTCACAAGAGCATGGGAAGTATTAAGCCACAGCTTGGCTACTTGGATAGCTGCCTCTCTGTCTCTATGTCTTTAGCTTTACTCGCCAGACTAACCACAAAGCAAGCAAAGTTACTCTTTCCACATCCTTATAAACAGGGATTTGTGTTTTATGATCATTCCATTTAAAAATATGTATATAGTGGAAAATTACTACCTAAAGATCGAAGACGTGAATTACATTACACAGTAGAATTTGATATCTCTCTTTAGACCTCTGAAGGCTCCTGTTGAAATTGAGGATACATTATTTTTCTACACTCTACATTCTTTGCTCCAGCAAAGTAATTAACTGTAATTCTTGTTCTTGCTTCATATTCTTAAGACCTCTTTCCCAGGATTCTTGCTTAAGTCAGTATATTTGCTTTTTAAGAGAAGAGCATGGTTGACACAATGAACTGGAGAACTGCCTAGATAATCAAGAAAGGAAATGAGAAAAGATACTGAATGGGTCAGAAAGTTGACATACTACAATAGGAAATAGAAAACAGAGGAAAACAGATGAGGAAACAAAGTAATACCCACTGAAACAAACTATGAGACTCTGATTTATTTCTTTCCTAAACAGACAAGTGCTGGAAAGACTATGCTATTTTTCCACTTGTCTTAGTTCAC